AAAAATTAAAAGACAAAGGGGTGTCATTTAACAAATTTTGGAGTGAAAAACTTTATTCTGAAGTACTTACTATCTTCAATCAAGTTTACAAGGAAAACTTGCAATTCTATATTTGAATTGCAAGTTTTTTTTGCAATGCTTATATATAATTATTAAATATTAATTGTATTTTATTTATTTAATTAATTTATACAGATGCTAGAAGCAATTTAGCTCAAAAAAGATTATTATATTCATTGTGTAAAAGAAGGTTTATAGAGCATCTTTGGTGTTAATCGAATAAAACTGTTTAGTGAAAAAGACTCAAAAGCACAAATGTTAGAATAGAAAAAAAATTCTAAAAAAGTATACAATAACTTATACAACCTTAGTGACCCAGATAATCCAAATTCTGAGACATTTCTCTCTTTAATTATAAAGTATGTTTTTGTTTTTGATGATGAACGTACTCAAGCCAATGCAGTTTGGACTCAAGTCATATTAGAAACTATATTCGATAAAGATAATATTTCTCCTAAGATCGATGCTAATTATGTTGATACGTGGATTCAAAAGCTGACAAATAATAAAAATGTATATAAACTGTTTATTAATAATCTTACCAATTTTTTTAAATACATTTTATTTTATTTATTTTATTATTTTTTTTTTTTAGGATACTGTTTTGCAAAAAGGTCCTGTAAGTTCTTCCATGATGTCAGAAGCAGAATCTTTAAATGTGATTCAAGAAAATTATGCTGAATTATCTTCAAATAGTGCTAACAATAATGAAAGTGATCATGATAGTAATAGCAATTATGAAGAATAAGCACCAAGTATTTCATACACTTATATTTGTTATTAATTGCAAAAATGATTTAAGTAATTTGATTTAAAATATGCATGTATTTAGTATTAGTTCTAGATTTTGCTATGTATTGCTAAATGTATTAAAAAATACATATTATAATAAATAATATTGTGCTTAACATAATAATACATATTTTAAAATGGCATTAGCAAATAAAATAAATTGTTTAACATAGTAATACGTATTTTTAAATAGCATTAATTAATAAAATGTGTTGTTTAATACATTTTTAAGTTGTTTATTAATACTGTTAGTCTGTATAGGGTTTGTTTTTTTACTCCTGTTAGTGTTAAATAACAACCAGTATTAGTTAATACTTTTCAAACACTTTTCAAACTTCCTAATGCATAAGATATTATCCGTATATATAAAGACAAATATAGAGGTATTAAGATAGTTTGTAGAATGGTAGATAAGGCTAGTTGAGTAAGAGGAAGAAAGAGTATATCTGGAGAATATAAAGAGATTTTTGAAATTAGATAGTTATAATAGATTCTCCAAAAGAATAGAGTAATAGTTTTTTCTTGATCTATTCTGTTTTTAACTAAGTAAAAGTTTGTAAGACCAAGATTAGAAATAACATGGATTGTATAGTCAAATAAAAAATTAGTTAGAATGTTGATGAGTAGTTGGTGATATTTGGATTCAGTGTAGTATTTTTTGAAATAATTCAAAGTTAACTGAATTATAAGCTTTACTTATATCCTGGGAGAGAAGCTATAATTGGTTTGAATTGCAGTTTGCATCTTCAATAATATTGTTAAGAATGTGAATAGATATTGAAATAGAGTTGCCAGAAAGTGCAACAAAGTTGAATAGTGATAGAATATTATATTGGGTAAAGATAAGGTTAAGGCAATTAGTAAAGAGTTTAGTGTATAGCTTTTTAATATGTTCAACTAAACTGATGGGTTAAGTATTGGATAGATTGCTATCGAAGATAGATTTTTTGGAAATAAAAAATATACATTCTTCTTTCTATTGTTTGAGTATGGTTTAGAAGGAAAGGCTGTAGTTGAAGAGAGATATAATAGTAGTAATAAAGTTGGAGCCTGTGTGTTTAAGCATTTTATAACTAATGCAAAATAGGCTACATGCTTTGTTATTAGAAAGTTGGTTGATAGTTGAGATGACTTCATTTTCTGTAAAGTTAAACAAGATATGAGAATACCAGAAAAAGTTAATATTTGGTTTGGGATCATATTTGGTATGCTATTAGGAGTTAAAGAATTCAAAGTTCATAAGCCAAGGGGCAGTCTAGTTGTCAAAATGCTGTTGGATATGGGATTTAATGGCTATAGAGTCAGTAATGACATCATTGTTGAGTCAGATGTTTTGGAATTTAACTAGATCTTTGTGTCTGTTAAAAATACTATTGATCATAGAGATAGGGTAAATTTGGAGTTTAGAATATCTTTTATCAATTGCAGTATTAATTTGTTGTCTAATTTCTTTGATGTTCTCTATATTGAAGACATAATAGAGTTTTTTTTTACTCAGAGTTAGTGTCAGTAATTCAAGAAGTGAAGAATTGATATATTAGGGAGAATGTAGAAATATTTAGATTAAGGGATTAATTAAGAAGAGAAATAGAGATATTAAGGTGTGTCAGAATAGTAGTGTAGTGTTTTAGAGCATTTTTGGTTTGTTGGATAATATTGCCAAGTTTTTTAAGACTAGAATATAAGTAAGTAGCTATAAAGAAAAATTTATATTGAATGTTATAAACAGTATATTTTTTATTGGGTATGTGTTTAAGAGCAGTGATAATTATACTATTATGAATTTTGTGCTAAGTAGTTTCAAGAGATTTTGCTGTATTAGTTGAGGAGAGTGTATGGTTGGAGTGGTAATTGATGTTGACTTGGTTGGGAAATTCTTTCTATAGTGTAGTATTTATAGCTTTGTAGTTAAAGATTTTTCAGCATGTATGTGTTTTATGTCTATATTGGCCGTGTAGAGTATAGGAAAAGACCAGCATGAGATAAGAATTTTATAGTTACTAAGTGAGCTATTGTCTGTATTATCAGTATTAAAAGAAGTAAGATAGGTTAATATTATATAGTAGGCTCAGATAAAGTCAATTTTACTACTGTATCTGGAGCTACACATATAGAAGAGGAAGAGTTAGTATGTGTAGCCAAGTTATACATGTTGTTGTAAGTAAGAAATTGAAGGAATTTATATTTAATAGAGAATAAGTGGGTATTGTCAGTGAAAACATTAAAGTCCTCAAGAATAATAGGAAGTAGATTAAAAGTATAAGTTTCTTGAAGCTATTAAATGATTGTGTTTTGGATTTGAAGTCAAGTAGAAGAGTTAATACTAAGAAAATAGATCAAAATAATATAGAATTTGAAGTCATATTTAAAGAACAGGTTAATTAAAATTGCATAGCCAGGAATATAAAAGATATTGTGAATATGAGGGTTAGAGAGTTGTGTATTATGATAAAAGTTTTTGCTTTGAAGCTATTAGTACAGAACCAAAAGTAAGTGTAATATTGTGTTTTAAGAGGTTTTGAAATAAAGTTATTACTGGCTAGTTTAGTTTTAGAGAGATAAATGATATCTAAATTGTTGGATAGACAATAGTGTTTCCAGATTTGTTGTTTGAAGTTTTGGTTAAAACTCAAATATTATATATACAAATTAAAAGGTTGACAGAACTAGAAGAGGTAAGATGTTGTGTTTGAGACTTTAGTGGAATATAAGGATTTGCAAAGATAGCACTTTATTAAGGTATAGTTTCATAGTCATGGAGTTGGCAGGGCTCTTGAGGTGTATAGATATATACTTCACTATAGTCAGATTTAATAAAAATTATAAGTTGGCCTTTTAAATTATTCCAAAAGCTGTATTTAATTAGGTAGAGAAGAAATAAGTTAATTGTTTGAAGAGATAGAAGAAGTGGTAAGTTGAAGTGTTGGAGGAATTTGTTAAAGCAGGTTGAAGGGTCACAAGAGTTTAAAAAAGTTGGAAGTGATACCTTTAAGTTGTTTTTTACAAGGGCACTTACTATATACCTAGCTCTCACAGTTCCACAAGAAGTAGTAGTACTCGGGTTATATGTTAGAGTACTGTGTTTATCTACTTCTTTCAAGTAAATAAGCTTATCTACCTGCCTACTTATATCATTTTTCTTATTAACTACAATGGATATATCTTTTAATAAGGTGGTGGCTATATTTATATTGTTTGCAAAAGACAAGTTTATAGAAAAGAATAATCTAGAAATAATGATTCTAGATTAGTAATAGGTTGGAAGTTGATGTTGAATTTTTCTTTTAAGTATTTATCTGCTTTAGGTTAAACTGTATCTTTGTAGTATTTAATGGTTTGTAAGAAAGTATAGAATTGGTTTTTGATACAATCGAAATAGGTTATGATTTAAGTAAGAAATAGGTATTGACAATAAAAAGTGTGGCTTGGGTAATAGCTTCTTTTTGGAGTAGTGCTTGGCACAATCAAACAAAAATTTGATAGTCAAATATTTGTTAATACTTGTCGCAGATTATGGTAAAATCAGATCATCATGAAATCTAAGGCCTTAATTTAAAAATATAAGCCCTCACAACCCTAAAAAAACCTATTTATACTCTTTTATTATAAACTATAACTCTAAAACTAGTCCAGATTCAAAAAAAAAGCCTAAAAAAATATACCCCAAAAAATTTTAAAAATTGGAATTTCACGATGATCTGGATTTCACAATCATCTGTGACAATACTTATATTTAAATGTAATATCAAATGATTGCAGATCAACCAAAGCTAAATATATATTATTAGTTAATCTGTGATTATTTGATATCTGACTTAATCACAAGTATTAACAAGTATTTAACTATCAAATCTTTGTTTGATTGTGCCAAGCATTAGTTTGGAGTTGTTGAGGATATTATAGTTTTCTAATTCAATTTAGTGGTAGAGAACTAGATATTTATAAAAATAAACTATGTGATAGTTTGGGCTAGAAGTAATATTATTAAGTTTGCAAACTATTTTTTCTACTTGTTTTGCTAGATCTTTGAGTAGTTTGGTAAGTATAGTTGTTTTAAAAATGACTTCATGTTTTGCATTAATAAAAAAGATAGATGAGTCAAATTGGGGTTCTTTAAGTAATTCAGATTCTTTTTTGAAGTAGAAAGAGTATGATTTTTTGAGAATATTAGTGTATAGTTGGTCTTGAATATACAGAAATTTTTTGTTTAAATATTCACAGTCTTTGTTGTTGCAGGTTAGCATATGAAAGTTGGTAGCTTTGATAGCTTTGTGCTGGTATTTGCATAGTTTGTAGAGTTTATGAAATTCAAAATTTGGTAGTAGAAGGTTTTGAAGTTCATAACAAATTGCTAGTAAATTTTGTTTTTGAGGAGTAAGTATATTTCTTTTTCATTTGGTGGAGTGTTAAATAGATTGAAAAGAATTTATTAAACCAATCTTTGTAAGTATTTAAAGAATTGATTAGAGATAAAGTGTGATAGTTATGTAAAAAAAAGGGTTTTGGGAATATTGAATAAGAGATAGATATTAAATCAGGAGTTAGATTTGATTTCAAAGTAGTGTTTGTCTTCATCAAAGCTTTTAATTAAAGATTTGCTTAAAATGTTTAGGTCTAAAGTCAAAGTTTTTAGCAATTTTTTTTTAGTTTATAGTTTGATAGTTGTTTAATAGATAGAGATATAGTTGTGCAATATTTAGGCAAAGTTGAAAATAGTTTTGGGCATTATATAGTAGAAATGTGACAGGTGAGGCAAAGATTTCTTTGTTGTTTAGTTTAGTAAAAAGATAGTAGTAAATTGTAGGATAATTGTTCTAAGGGTGGCTTCAAGATAAATAAATAGGATAGTAGTATTGGAGTTAATATTAGAGTTGTATTCAAAGATAATATCTGTTAAAAATTGTGGCTATGATCTAGCTATAAATTGAGAAAATATTTAAAAGAAGCCTTATAGGT